CGGGAAAATCCAAACGAAGCCCCGAGTTGACGTAAACTCAGGGATGTTTTGCCTTATTTGGTTCTGGCCTGTACTTTTTTCACGTCCCGAAACTGACATACAGACCAGCCCACTTGTTCACTGGCCCAAGGGAGTTGGGGGGGTATGAAGTGTTGACTGCTGGGCCGCTGACTGGAGCAGACCTCAGCAGAGAGCCATGAGCCGTCCTTCCTCAGCTGGAGGAGGGGGGCTGGGGGCCTGTAAGGCAGGCGGGGGGAAGCGTGGGGCCGCCTGTGTCCAGGCTATCGCCACCGGGTCGGGTTTGGTCGCCCCATCCACTGGTGGCTCCCTGCCCCCATCCGCCAGGGTTACCGGACCAGCCCACGGAGCTGACGGCTCGGTTCAAATGCCCTGTGTGTTTCGACTACGTGCTGCACTGTAGTCGACCAAAATCCCTGATAATTTTGAAATTTCCCCTGGACGTTTCAAAAGGAAAGGGAGGATGTCTGGTCACCCTACAATGTCAACAATTTCAATGTTTCAGTGAGTGAGTGCTTGTTGCTATGATGCGTCTTTGCTCAGCTTCAAGAAAGGTGTAGACAACACAGCTATCCAGATACATTTTAATTATTCAACCTATCCTTTAACTGGATGAAAACACCTTAAAAATCAAACTTGGAAATATGGGGAGATTAGCCCTAAAAATCACAAAATGTGTAGGTGAGGAAGCCTCAAATCGGAAACATTCAGTAAGAATGTCAACCTGCCAATTATCAGTGCACTTAATGTTCATGCTTTGAAGCCACAAAGTACTTGAATACAGTCTCGCCAGGGCTTAAGCCTTGTTATCATTCACTTTTTTATATTTAAGAGCCATTAATAATACAAAAATGTCCAAATAGAGTGAATGCAGCTTCCTTTCAATCCACTGTAAAGAGCAGCCCATCATTTTTGATAGGTAGTGGCAGTCAGATATGAATTCAGAGACAGCCTCTCTCATTTTCATTTTCACCATTTTACTTGAGGGAATGTGATGACAGGAATGGAAAATATTATAGTTTTCCTTTACATTGTGTGTCAAAAAGCAGCTACCCTCATGAATAAAATGATGGAATTAAGGAGATTAAGCACAAATAATAAGAACATTTTTTTTACCATACAAAAAGCACTCAGGGTTCTCTGAAGTTGAAGAGAGTTTATATCCTTTGAGGAAAAGCAACAAATTCAAAATGAGCTGTGGTGATCATTAGAGGTCCTGGATTGGTTATCTGCAGAGTTCATTCTGTATACTGTTTCAATAATAAAAGAGCTTCTGAAGTCTGTTGAGCTCTTGAATAAACAAAATCTGCATACTTGATGATTTACGCTTAATAACAATATCTTTCTCTATTTAGAATATTTGAGTTCACTACATGTATTAAAGATAACAATATACAGAAATAATTAAATAAACAAACAAATGAATAAATTAATAAAACTGGCAAGCTTGACTACAGGTCTTAAAACAAACAAAAAATAGTTGGTATGGCATGCCTTTTTATTTTGTATGTCTTTTTTTATTTGCTTTTCATATTTCTGCCTTGACTGATCTTACTGAAACTTAAAACTTTACCAGGGTATGGTAAGCCTATGGCCATGCTTGCATATAAGGTAGGTCTTCATTGAGAGCATCCTCAATATCTAATTAGTTGCTGGAATTGTAAACAGTTAGATTGATCACATGTGTCAGATCAGAGGAATGTCTTTCTTTTTTCTAAAACACAGACAGTTTTATTCAATATCCTATTAGCCTTTCATTTCTGACAGAAACTCTACTTGAATAATTTTGTCTGCTATCTGTGATTATAGACTGTCGTTAATGAAGTACTTGGTTGATATTCTTGCTGGACCACTTGAGATGATTCCTTTTGAAGTGGCATTTGGAATAAGATCAAGTCACTTTCATGCTCCAGGGCATGGACACATTTGTATTCAGTATGTGTGCACACTGGCCTTTACTGCAACCTCAAAACAAGATAAGAAAATTTTTTTGTCTATCCCTGGTGCTATGTTATATCTATATGGTGTGTGGAGCCGGTGGGGGGTGTGTTTTATTGAAATGTTTCAAATCTCAATCTAGCAAAATATGACTTCTGATAATGTTTTGGAAGTAAATCTATCTATACAAGTGCAATTTTTTTTTATCTTCACACAACTTACTTTAATGCTTTACACTTTTCATTGAAAAAACACAGGAGCGGTCAAGCTCCAGTCTGTCTTGAATTAGAATGTACTAAAAAAACTAAAGCAATATTTCCTTGAAGATAAACGGAAAGGGTTATGAAAAAGAGAGAACCATTTGTTCCAAACCTGCACCTTCAAGCCAAACTGAAATCTGCAATCCACTTGGATAAGCCAAGCAAAAAGAGTGCAATGAATGTCAAAGTAAGATTTTTACATGCAAAAAAAAAACTGTGTCAGCTGATGGTAGAGTTTTCTTTTTTGTTTTCGTTTTTTCAGGAACTTGTTAGTTGCAAAAATTGTGTGGGATGCAAAGCTGTAGGAATAATGTATAAATTCTTCAAATTTGCCTTTAGTTGAATCCTTAATAGAAGAAACTTCAAAATATTGGGTAATACAATAAGACATTGACCCCACAAATGCATAGAAACTGGAATGGTACCAACTACAGCCCATTGGAAATATGACGGCTGATCTAAAAGGCAGAGTTTGGAGAAGAAATTTAAAGTAAATCCCATCGTTTTTGACAAATAATAATAATAATAAAAAAAGAGAAATATCCAGGCAGAAGTATTTTAGAAAGGTTTTGATCGATAAAGCTTTATGAGTAATTTTCAATGTGAATTGAATACAATCTACAATAAATTAACAGTTGTTGGATAATCTTACCATCCGTTTTCCGACACGCTTATCCCGGGTGCTGGTGCCCATCTCCAGCTGTTGATAATCTTACCATTCTAAGAAAAAGACTTACTTAGACTTTTGTTGTCATTTTGTGTAAACAGAGTGTGTCCAAAACTAAATTTCGCTTTTTACAGCTTTCATGACATTTCAATTTCTTAAAGTGCAGCAGTGATCAAATCTAAATAGCGTGGGAGAAAAAACATGGTGGAAAAAAAATGCGTTGATATGGAAGCTCAGAGCATTAAACGTATATTGTGCAATTATATGTTTTGTGTAGTTTTTTGGTTTGGTTTTGTCAGTGTGATGCAGAGTCTGGGACATGATTTTGAGTTTTTTCAACAGTTCATCTGTCTGATAGCGGTGGCGAAGCAGCTGTTTCGGAATCTGCTGGACCTGCATTGGATGTCTCTTTCAAGAGGGCAACAGGGAAAACAGTCCATGTTGGGGGGGTGAAGGGTCTTTGATAATGTTACGTAGCTCTATAGTCAAGAACTTAAAAGACCAAAATTCATGGCATACTTTTGAAATTTAAAGATATTTCAACTTATAACAGTAATTGCATCTATTTATCAAGGACAGGGGTGCTCAAGTCCACTCCTCAAGAGCTACTATCCTGTAACTTTTAGATGCATCTCTTCTCTAACACACCTTAATCTAATGGCTTAATCCCCTCATTTGCTCAGCAGTTATGGTAATGAGCCACTCATTTGATTCATTTGTGTGAAAAATGGGGTGCATCAAAAAGTTACAGGATAGTACCTCCTGAGGAATGGACTTGAGCTACCTCTGAGTAAAGTAAATCATACCTGTTTAAGATCAAGTAACATAATTTGTGTAAAACCGCTTCCTGGTGCAATTCCTCCTCACTTTGACTGAAATATTCCCATATGCGTTTTTGAATTTGATTTTAAATAATTATTCCTATATTAAATTGGATAAATACAATTTAATATAATAATCTTTATAAATTGTTGATGTCATTATATATTGTTTTTATTAGAAAGGAACCTGGTAGGCTATTCCCTGAGGTAAATGTAGACATGACACTGCATAAAATGAAAAATGATTGGAATTTAAATAAAATATGGATAAAGACTGATATATATTTAAGAAACTCATAACTACCTTAAAATGTAATCAGATGGTTCTAAGAATTTAAAAGCATGTGTGGGAATAGGAATATATATACCAGAGTTTAAAATAACAATTCTAAAAATATATTAGATTAACTATCTGTTTTCACAGCAGAAATGGGGGCAATTATACTAAGCTTACAACGGGTAGAGGAGGTTAGACCAGACAGGGTGGTGGTCTGTACAGATTCCAAAGCAGTTTTAGAAAGTATTCAGGGAGAAGGAAATGATAGAAAAGATTTATTATTAGAAATTTAGCACAGTCTATTTAGATTATATAGGGGTAGCATTGATATGTGGTTATGTTGGGCTCCAGCACATGAAGGTGTTAAAGGCAACGAAAAAGCAGTTATATTAGCAAAAAGGGCTTTGAAGGGAACAATAACAATTATAATTCCTTTTGGGAAAGGGGAAGGGAAATTATTTATTAAAAGTAAATGGAAAAATGATAAGAGGTGAAAATAAGATAAGAAAGGAAGATGGTTATGTAAGGTACAAAAATCAGTATTAAATAGAATCATTAATGAGAGAAACAGAAGGGAAGAAGTAATAATGATCAGATTAAGAGTGGGTCAAACCTATTTAAACAACAATTTATATTTAATAGGGAGGAAAAATAATGATAAATGTGAAGTATGTGGAGAAAAAGAAAATGTAGAACATGTACTGATGCACTGTAAAATTTATGAACATGAAAGGGAGAAATTAAGAAGGATGGTTGAAAGGACAGGCTAATAATGGAGTCTTAAAGGAATATTGGAAAATGAGGGAAATATAAAGGATATTCACGGATTAAGAAAAGCATTATTTATTTATCTACAGAATACAAAATAGAAAATAGAATTTGATGTAAAGTAATGTTGCTGCACACTCATGTACAGTAGGTGGCGGTATGCACCTTAAAGTTGCTTGCGATAATAAGGATCCCCCCCCCCCGGTAGGAACGTTTGTTCAACCACGTGTTTCCGATTAACTTCACTTCCTCCCCACGCGAGCTGCTTGCTACATGTGAGTTCTTGTGCATCACTAGATCCATCCACGTTTTAAGCCAACTAGTTGCCCATTTATCAACACATGGTTCTTTGTAGCTCGACTATGGATTCAGCCGAAGAAGAGTCGCTTCACGGTCAGAGTTCAGATGAGGAAGGCAGTGAATTGTCGGACGGAGAGGTGAGTTTATGTTGGCATCGCAGGAAAGAAGCTAGCTAGCTGTGTAGCACCACAATCACTGTAACACTCCATGATCTAAAGAACGAGCAAAAACTCTTTGTTGATATCCTGAAGTCTGCATTCGGTTGTGGTGATTAAATATCTGGCTGATATATATATACTTTTAACACCGTTGACAATAAGTCAGCAAGCGTCTAACATTTAGAAACATAATTACTAAAATATCTTTGTGTCATAACAGGGAGATCCGGCCATGCAAATGAAGAAAAAAACGTAGTCAGAATAAACTAGATTAAGCAACATAATTAATACTTTTTAAAAGTTAAATGGCAATGCGGAAGAGAAATAACATAAAAGAAAATACGCTATGTGCAATTATTAATAGAAATTGGACCATAATAAGTAAAAAAAAACTATTTAGAAGTTAAACAGAAGTAAATAAGCAGCATGTTAACAAAACAACGTCCAAAACTGAAGCAAAATGCTAAGATTATAGAAATATAAAAGCTCAGCCTGTCTTTCACTTAATATCACTTTCCTGTTCATTCAGAACTTCTTCTCCTTTAGAATCTTTTATTTGGTCATATGAGAAGTATTTATATGTAACTTGAGATTTTTTGTGTACAAATAAACATCTAAAAGTATAAATATTTAGTCCCTTTTAAACCGATGCCTTTAATAAAATATTGCTAAGCTTTAAACATCTTACAAGATCACTGTTCAATCCACCATCTGAAAAAAATAAAAGCCGAAACAAGGCAAGATGGGATTGTTAGATGAGTGCGACAATCCTAAAATGCAATCTGAAAGAAATTATGTTAAGGATGGTGCACAACCAATTGGCTTGCACTGAATGCATTTGTATTGCTACACAAAGCTTAAGAATCCCCTAACTTAAGCATATTACAATTTTTTTTTGTGCCACTTCCTTTGGTGTTGCAACTATGCTGATTGAGACCAGTTGACTTGGAAGTTTGCAAAGTCAAAGTGGTCTCTGCAATGAGGGGTTCATGGTTGGGTGTTTTTGCAAAGCTGTAATCTTATTTGCTAGGTGCTGTGAGGTTTTTCCATATACACGATTGGATCTCGTTCAGTTTGCTGAACATATTGGCTACTTGTTATTCAAACAATTGTTTCCCAAGTTGTATTTTAATCATTAAATAAAATCAAAGTTGCTTAAACTGACGCTGCAATCGCAGTAAAGTTCTGATGCAAATTTCACCAAGACATGGATGCCCAATTAACTCAAAACTAAAATAGGTTAAATGTAAATCCCTATTGGATTTAACTAATTTATTTTTGATATTAAATATATTTTTGATCCCAAACACCTCATCTCACCACGGAAGAAGTCGGATGGATTGGGGAGATCCTGGGTGTATTCCTTCCACCGTCCAACGATAACCTCTTTCAGAATCAGCAGCTCCCCACTCTGGGAGTGGCACATTCTATTTTTCTATAGTTATAACTTCAAATAAAGATCCAGATGTATTTAATAACAACATCTTTCACCCGTTAAGCAAACCAATTTTGTCATAAGGATTTTAAACTACAGCATAAACAGGGGAACTTATTAATGTGTTGAGCGGTCAGGTCTGTTCTCTTTTTTGAGGTAATGTTTTCAGCATTTGCATTAAAAAAATCTAAATCATCAATCTCTGTAATCGATGAAACATTGAAATGATCCAAATAATCTTTATCATCTGACTGAATTAACTGTGTTCCACTTTTACTTAGTGCTAAAAGTCATCTTTAGATCCAGTATCTTTTCCTCAGGGGGGGCAGCCCTACTCTCCAGGTGTTTGGAGGTTTGATTCTCTGCTCAGTTGGAACATTGACAACAATGCAAAGGAAATGTTGGATTACTTAAGCAATCGAGCCTTAACTAGTATAACCCAACAACACTGTTATAATTCTCACTTAAAATACTTGAAAAGTTAAACAAATACTAAAGAAATTATTTTACAATTAATAATGTTTAAATGGTTATTGAATAAAGTAGAATTTATTTATGACTAACATTTTCTCTCCTCTTCCTTTACTGCTCTTGGACCCACAGTAATGGAATCAGTTGTTAGTTGCTCACATGGGAAACTGAAGCTATACTGCAATCTGCAGCAACTTTAGTGAACTGCATGAGATTTAAACAGTCTTCTACTGAATTGACAGAAATGGTTGCATTTTACTCTAAGCAAAGTTTTGATGCATATAATTCTGTTTCAACATTTTTTGCAATATAGGCATTTATTAATCATTGTGGCCCTAATTTGCAGAGATTGGTAAAAAAAAAATTAAGTGAAGTTGTATAATCTGTTAATGACAGCTGAAATTAATGCAACTAATAAAACGGCTAAATAAACTGGATTAAAAATGCTTTCAAAACAGTTAATCTTTTGACCTTATTAATGTAATAACCTGTTGTAGTTTAATGTTGACAGTGTCAGTACAAAGTAGGAGAGATGTGGAACAGTCATAAAGTAGACGATAATCTCAGGAATTCCAAAAATCTCTTTGCTTACTGAAAATTTACCTGAGTGCTGAAAATGTAGAATTTTAAATAAGAAATATGGAACACTTGTAAACCATTTCTGTATGGTTAAATAAACCTTTTTTTTATTTTTTATTTTCAAGCTTCAAGAAGCCTTCGCTAAAGGACTGCTGAAACCTGGGATGAATGTTATGGTAGATAAGAAAAAGAAGTTTATCAACAATGTGGTGAGTAATTTATATCACAAGGTTTCACTGTAAAGTTAAAATTAAATAATTTAAAACAAGGGTTAAAATGCTACCTTTCTACTTAAAAAAAAAAAAAAAAAAAGACCAATAGTCAAAATTACTTATATCGTTTCAAATGTTGTATTTGTTGAATATAATTCTGTGTTCTACGTGTTTGTAATGCAGGAGGGGTTGAAGCAGTGCCTTGCTGACTTCCGCAAAGATCTACCTTGGGTGGAGAGGTTAGACTTGACCAATCCTCCAGCTCGTGACATCCTCTCCAACGCTGAAGAGAAAGTGTCTGCTGGAACCAATGGGGAAATTGATGCCGAAGATGATTTCCAAAGAGAAATGGTCTTGTAAGTAGATGTCGGTTGAAATGCACTGTAAATATATGCTGAATTGAAATAAGAGCATTAAGTCTAAAACCTATTTTCAGTTTGAACTAGCGATTACGTTGGTTGTTTTTTGTTGGTGATGAAGAAAACATTTTGTTTACAATTTTAGTTTTTCATATTGAGCATGAGACAGTAACAGCAGAAAAATGGGTATTTGATGGCTAAAACATGAAGAGAAGTGTTTATTTTTGTTGTGACGAAGATCAAGGAAGACAAAGATTTTGTTTAAAGGTTCTTTGTACAATCAGAAGAAAAGACAATTCCTCCTATTCAGAATGTAATATGTCAATAACAAGCAGAGGGATCCGCAATACTGCACACTATCCTGTGCTCATTTTGCCCCATCTTCCACCACCTGAGAATCATTGTGGAATGCTGACGACCTGAGATTGGCTGTTTGAGTTATTTTTCATAGATTAGAGAATGACTATCTATGGATTTTACTTGAGTGACTACAAGTAATTTGAGACCACAGTGGGCATAGCGTGTCAAAACACTCACCATGTCTAAAGATCATGATTAATGTTAGGATTGTACCTTAAACTTATCTCATGTTTTGCCGGCTCACATCAAACAGTGATAGTTTTGTGATAACTGTCGCTTTAATGGCAAATATTTTACGCTTAGAAGGGACCTGTTTACTTGCTGAAATCTAAATGGTGTAATTGTACTATTTACAAACCAAAAGCCATACCTGAAGGCTGATTGAGAAGAGAGACAGACATGTCAAGATTGTTATATTTCCAAGCAGGAAATATAACATGCTGTATTTATTAACAACTCATACATAATCTAAATGGAGAATATGCCAACACCTTCCCATCCACAGTGGCATAAATCATGTCGTTTTGAAAAAGAAATAGAGGACGTTCCATTCAAAAACAGCAAAATATTAATGGGTTGTGATTGGTCGCTTTTTAACCATCCGAATGCAGCGGGTGTGAGTTGGAACAGTGTATATCCATCTCTCTGCACACACAGACCGGTGAAAATAAGAACAACACATGTTGGAAATGTATGACTAACATATTGCTTAAGTAAAAAAAAAAATATCTTTTCCATTTCATTGTCACAGATTATCTAGAGAACTAAAAATCTTTACCTTTCTGCATTTATTTCCAGCTACCGCCAGGGCCAGGCTACAGTACTCGAGGCACTGCCTCTACTTAAAGTGCACAATATAGCCACCAAGAGGCCTGATGACTACTTTGCAGAGATGGCCAAATCAGATCAGCAAATGCACAAGGTAAGCCGCTGGTGAATGTTCTGTCATCAAGGTCATAGTCGGTCCAAAAAAAGTAAAAATAAACAAACAAAAAAAAAACAATCCGCTACACTTGGTTACCAAGTTGGAAACAAAGTCCAGTGGATTGGTTTTTAACTTTTTAGGAATTACGAGGTAAGCAGTTCTTTCTTTACAAGTATCTATATCTTTAAAGGAGCTACAATATCATTTGAAATGATCTTAGGATTTCTAAGGTTTTCATCAATGGTTGCTATAAAAAGTCAGTGTAATATACTGAATATATTTGCCCTAAAATAAAATGATTGTATGTTATCTTTATAGTATACAGTTTACAGTATCTGTATTAGAATCTAAGCAAAGTTGATTGGTTGAAGCAGTTTGCTCCTATTTTTTTTATCAGAAAAAAAAAAAAGATTTTAAGTCAATTTTTTTTTTGGTATTTCTTTAAAATGTTCTTTTATATGAATAACATTTCTGATTTCAACAGAATAATCATTAATAAGGATATTAATATATGGTGGAAAATATAATGTCCAAGGTATCCAACAAATGCAGTTTTCTTTTCAAATACAGGAAGCAATTCATATTTTTGTTCAATTTTGTCCAGTATTGATAAAAATAGCTTTTTTTCCCCCCTTCTTTTATAGGGGGGCTCTAGGCTTGGGCCTAGATTTGCTACATTTATGGGGTTTTTTTTCCTACTGTATTGGAAATACAGTTGGTAATATCTTTTTGCTATCTGAACAAGTGGTTGATGGGGGAATTAAATTTGATTTCATACGTTAAAATGTATCAAGTTTCCTTAGAATTAAGAAAGCTTCTCTACATCACACACGTCTTAAAATAATTTACTGATGACTTTGATAGCAGAAGAGAAATCTGCCTGCAAATGTTCAGCTTTGAGATAAAAATGCTGCTTTTGTTACTCAATTTTTGTTTTGTTTTTTCCTGTTTTCTTATTATTTAAAAAAAATATATATATTTTTTTTTTATTCTTTGGGAAAAAATTAATACACTTTATTTTCTTTAGATCAGGGCAAAGCTGCTCACTAAACAGATGATCCTGGAAAGGTCTGAAAAGGCCAAAAAGCTGCGTGAGCAAAGGAAATTTGGTAAAAAGGTTTGTAGCTTTTCTCTCTCCTTACTCCAAAGACACGTTATTTGATTTAATAAGTCCAACTAAG